ACTTTGCAGATCGTTTACATTCACATGCAGCTACATTACACACTGCATGAAAGGCAATATTCGGAATGGCATAATAGGAGCACTTTAATTAACAATATCTAAATGAACTATTTTATAATCAAGCAGAGCCACAAAAAAAAAATTACACATTCACTATAGAAATGTTCAAAGAAATGTTATGAATTTATACAAATTTTCCAGGCTTTAAAATCACAATGTTAAAATCCCCAAGTTTTCCATGATGTGGAAGACCATTTGATTCAAATCAAGCATGAACAGCTCACCTCATCTCCCTCAGCCGTTTGACCTGCTGAATGCACTTCTCCGCTGTATAGTCCACTTCCTCCTCAGTGGTAAATCTGCCAACTCCAAATCTGAGAAAAACATTGGTCATGTGCATCAGATCTGCTCATTACAGTTTGTGTGGTCATGGTTCAAGCAGGAAATTTGTGTACGGAGACTTAAGATAAAATCTGAATATAGATTACACAACACAAAAGCACAGAGAGAGAAACGAGGCGTGCTAAGCATGACCTGGGGGGAAAAAATATCAACATTTAGAGTAGACTGATATTTTACAAAACTACCAACCGAATAGACGAGTGCGCCAAGTCCTCATCTGCCCCTATTGCTCTGAGGACATATGAGGGCTCCAAAGAAGCAGATGTGCAGGCGCTGCAACAAGAACAGGTTACTTTAGTATTATTTATATACCATTATAGTTTATATTGATATTTTAAATATCAATATAAAAACTTTTAATTTTTAATATTGCAGTTTTCATTTTACTTTCAATTTCATTTTTAGTAATTTGTCATTCTCATTTTTATTATTATAACATACTGTATATCTTTTAATGTTACTATTTAAGATTAATTTATTAATTTAAGGTTGCCTTGGCAAATAACTGAGATAAGTTTATGTTTTTCTTTCAGCTTTATACATTTTATTATTAATTATTACATACAGCTTTATATATTTTTGTTTTTACTCAATAAACAAAGATGTTTTTAACCGTTTTAGTAAAAAGATAACTTCCACTATTTTTAACCAGCTTTGTATTTTAACAATATCTATGTAAATGAAAAACGTGTACTCTTTCTCCAAGTTTACCTGCTCACAAATATTTATAAACCCCGGTCAGACATTTGAAACTACTGACCTTCCAGATGAAAGCGCAATATCTTTTAACGCCATCAACATACTCTCCCCCTCAACATAGGCAAATGATAAATTAACGCATCCTGAAGGAGGAAAGTGTTTTTAGATTACAAACTCAAGTCAACATGGAACCTTATAAATAAATGACAATTACAAAGTCAAGTCTTACCTGGGTACCTCTGATCTGGGTCTCCATTCATCACAACATCAGGAATCTCCGACATGATCTTCTGCACAAGGCGATTTGCAAGCACTGTCACACGCTTGTGATCGTACTGAAAATAAACAGAAAATGAAACCTGCATATAAGCGAACTTAGACTAGCAGTAGCAAGTTTAACTCTTAACTCTGAAGTCTCTACCTCTAACTCTTGCTGGGCGATCTCACAAGCGGCTCCGAGGCCTACGGCGAGAGGTGTGGGCACGGTCCCTGAACGTAGACCCCTTTCCTGACCCCCTCCGTTCTGCAAAGGCTCAATACGAACTCTGGGTCTCCTCCTCACGTACAAAGCCCCAACTCCTAAAAAACACAACCACTCATTAATATATTTTGGATAATGTGACCGTTGCGCATTTAAATGTACAATATGCTACCTTTGGGCCCGTAGATCTTATGGCCGCTGATGGACATCAGATCCACTTTCCATTCACTGACATTAATGGGGATCTTTCCAACAGCCTGAGCAGCATCAGTGTGGAAGAACACATTTTTGGACCTACACAGATGACCTGAAATCAAAAACATTATTGATATAGATGATATGAAGATTGACAGGTATACGTTTAGAGAATGATGTTGATAGTAAGTTACCTATTTCTTTGATTGGTTGTTTGACACCAATCTCATTGTTGATCGTCATTATGGACACCAAACTGGTATCAGGACGGATTGTTTCCTCTAATTGCTAAGAAAGCAAA